GAGGCGTATCATATGTCCCAACGGGATGAAGAAAATGCACTAGTTGAGACTGTGTGTGAGAAGGACCTAGGTGTGTATGTTGACAATGAGCTGAAGTTCTCGGGCCATTGTGAGAAGAAGGTAAATCAGGCAAATAAATTATTGGGTCTTATAAGAAGGTCGTTCAGATATCTAGACGGTCCGTCCCTCGTAACGATCTTCAGGAGTGAAGTGCTTCCCCATCTGGAGTACTGTCACCCCATCTGGTCCCCGAGGTATGCTAGGGACTGTCAGTTGGTTGAAAATGTTCAAAGGAGGGCCACCAGACTGGTGCCTGCACTTCGGCACCTCAGCTACCCTGAGAGATTGGGGCGCTTGAACTTGCCTAGCTTATACTACAGACGGGCAAGGGGGGACCTAGTTGACGCGTATAAGCATCTCAGGGGGCACTACTCAGTCGAGTGTCCTTACTTGGAGCTGGCGGACGCTCGCCCCACAAGGGGTCACAGCTCAAGATTGAAGAAACCGCAAGTCCAGAAAACTGTGAGGGCAAACTTTTTCGTAGTGAGGGTTGTAAACTCTTGGAACAATTTACCAGAGAGTGTTGTGACGGCACCGAGTGCGAGCTCTTTCAAGACAAGACTTGACCAACACTGGAGCGGGTTCAGGTACACTCGCACCAAAAAGTATCGGTGCAGGGTGAGATCGACGACTTCCAAAACGAAACGTATACGCTGTGATATGTCGGGAAGGTTGGTAAGTGTATCCTCATAACCCCCCCCAACTAGGTGTTACTATATGGCTGACAATCAGTGTGTTTGTTTCCTCTTTTCGGATTGTTGCTTTGTGTTGACTGAATGACGAGCGAGGGTTCGGTCTCGGTGAACGTGGGTATAAAACAGAGGCAATATGAAACAGTAGAGATCTACACATGCCAGACGACATAGAAACCTCAGAGGGAACACGAGGAGCTATTATTGCCATTCATAACGAAGGGTTCGGCGTCACAGATATTAGCCGGCGGGTTGGTATCCACAGGAACACCGCTGCATGATGGATTCGGCGATACCTCGAAACTGGTGCTACAGACGACAGGTCTTGGAGCGGCCGTCCACGCTGCACCACCCCTCAGGACGACCAGGTTGAGTGGTTTATTTGGTAGCATAAATTAATGTGGCAATATTCACAAGTATCACAAATAATTTTGTTAACATGGAGCTCCTCATATTTCATACTGTCTATTTATCACTTCCCGACCTTATTTATAACGGTTTGTTTCACTTGACCAGGCCATAGTAGCTGCTCAGCAGGATTACAGGGCTGCCAACATATGGCTGGAACAACTCGCCTTTCCCAATACCTATTGTCACTGGTCTCAAATTGTTCACACTACAGTATGCACCGATACTTTTTGTTAGGAGCCAGTGCATGCCCAGTATTTGCCAACAGTGCGTGACAGAGAAGCGACCGATCGCCCGGGCGGCTAGCGAGCCGATTTTTTGGTGAAGAGGATAAATGAAAAGGAAAAGTAATCAGAGACGTGACCGATCGCCCAAGCGGCTGACGAGCCGATCAGTGGCGAAGAGGATAAAAGTAAAAAGTAAAAGTAAAAATGCCTTGAAAGCATTTGAGGTGGATGTAGTGTAGTTGATCAATGAGCCATACTGTTCCTCAAGAAACCCTTAATAAACTTCTTGGAGGCAAACTTCTTTCTGATGACACTGATGTTGGTGGCAGCACTAATGCAGTATTCAGCAATTTACTGAGGTCTGTAAATGCTTCTTTGTATGGTGGCAAGAACTCAGCAAAGTGCTGGATACTGCTAATTTGCACACAAGCTGCAACTTCACTATCTACCAGCCATTTGGCTTGTTTGAGCATAACCTCTAAGTACTAGGTGTCCACTTCATACTCAAAAGCTACATTTAAAATCTCTGTTGTTTTCAAAATTCACGCCAGTGATTCAGGTCTGTTATAGTGACTTTATAAACATCTGTGAATTGAAGAAGAATACAAAATAATGTGACGTGCCTTTTTCGGATTTTTCTTTTTTTATGTGGGGGGCCCAAGTTTTCTGGGGGGGGGGGGGAACTCGGGGCTCCCTAGTCCCCATTTCTGACGTCACTGATGGTAAGAAATCGCGTCTTGAGCAGACCTGTCCTATTTGCCATATTTTGGGGGACCTTACAGTGTAGTAAGTATATTAAGGTTTGTAGTGACATTCATTGGTGTTTTCTCTCGCAGCTTGAAAATATATTAAATTTGGGTTTAGGGAAGAGTAGGGCCGGATTCAGGAGTGGGCAAAGTGGGCAGCTGCCCAGGGGCCTCCACAATCTGGGGGCCTCCACACATTACAACATTTTGTTTATTTGTTTATTCATTTGGATTATTTTTATTTTCATTCTTTAAAATTCATGTTTATCTATTCCATCACGTAAAACTATGTTCATCAAGAAGCGTGATAGAAATTAGGCTAGCTACTCCTTGAAATTCATGGATACCTGGTTTTACTATGAACCGTATATTTTTCATGAATGCTATTGTTTGTGTTGCTAATAATATATTTAGAATTCCACAAACATATATTGATTAAAAATGAACTGCATGGAATAACGAAATTGAGATAAAAAAAAACAAATAAAATATTTTTTTCATTATCACTTCCATTACGAATGCCATCAGGGCGCTGTGTGTGTTGACAGTCGGTCGGAGGGGGTTGGGTCGTGTAGTATCTGCACATCGGTTGTCATGTGTCTGTCGATTAAAGAGATGACTTGCGTCGCCCATGATTCGTGAACTTCCCACGAGTAGACATAAACATGTCTTGCAGATGTAAAATGAGAGAGAGAATTGTCAAGTGTGCTTATTGAGTGAAGTCGTCGCTGCTCAGTGATGAATGATCTTGTCAGTTGTCATTTCCTAGAACATGTCTTTGCAAATGTTTTACTATTGGATGCAAAACTTCAATTTTATTTATAGTTGAGTTAATACTTATTCTGAATCTATCTGACCTTGGACTTAAAGAAGCCTATACATGCATTCTTGGACAGAACCTTTATTTGAGTAGAGGTTTATCTGATTAATAATGCAAAGAATCATCTCTCTGTAATAACTAATAATATATTCTTTTCTGTGAGTCTTGAAAATTTTTGACATTTGCGGTAGTAGCTATATCAGGGCTGGTCGACTTGAAACCACATGAATGACTCCAGTTATGTCTCACTTTTGTGTGTGTGTGTGTTGGGAATTTGTACACTATCAATAAATATACAGTTAATTAAAATTTTCTCAATGTTCTAATTTCCTCAATATAACTGCATATGGCTTCAAAATTCTCCAAAGAAGTGTTCAAATTTAAAAAATTTCCCGGGGGGGCTTACAGCGCCCCCCGGAACTCCCAGATGTTTAGGCTGCTACACTCGCCACCCCACCCTCTTGGGTAGTTATAATGAGGGGGGGGGGGCTCCACAAAGAGGCTGCCCATGGGCCTCCACAGGTCAATCCGGCACTGGGGAAGAGTGAGACGAACCAGATTACACCAGTTTCATTTTCTAGCTGTACCAGTTCATACTGGATTTTAGGGCTGACAACATTCCAGACCCACGTGACACTATCCACCAGTAGGAGTGGACATCAGCTGCCCACTGCCGATTTACCCTCCTACAAATACATTTGTTTTTCATATTTTAAGCTCATTGTAAATTAAAAAAAATGACAAGGCCTAAAATTGAATCCATAATTCATAAATTAACTCACAGGCGCAAGAAAAATAATTGTAACGTTTCAAGTTTTGTGAATATTTTGAAGTTACAATTATTTTTCTTGTGCCTGTGAGTTAATTTATGAAATATGGATTAAATTTCAAGCCTTGTTATTTTTTATAATTTGCGATAAGCTTAAAACATGAAACACATACACAACTAAGCCAATCCAAACCTTTACTCAGATAAAAGTAACTTCAAGACTATAACTTCAAGTCAATTAGCTTAACCTGAACATCGTGTATATTATGTGTCAGAAGGGACATTTCTTTGTCTATATTTGTACGGTTTTGTAAATAGTTTAACATTTTACTGTGACATAAATTTACTCGCCACATCCAGTACAATATTGTACATATGTTAAAGAGTAAATATTGAAAAAGAAGGTGTAGGAGATTCATAACAATGATTTTAGGTAGCGTGAACCAGCAGAATTCAGGGCTGACATCTGTGACTCACGTGGACTCGCGCCGCCACGCGCTCCCTGCCCTTGGTCTGTTCCTCCGTGTTACATCTGCTGTCTCTGTCAAACACTCGTAATCCGTAGCAACGCCTACTAGTCATTTGGGAACTGACGCAATACGTAACACTTGAGGATGGTAAGGCAAACAGAAAACTCAGTGTTTGCGCACGTTGCGTACATGTAGCTAGTAATGTTGGCAACAATACCAAAGACTAAGCGTACACGAGTCGATATCGATCTATTTTAAGTACAGGATTTACTCGGAATCCTCTAATTTACTATTAATATTTATTTTTAAATATGTATTCAAAAGTTAGATAGAGGATATATTAGCTGTCTGGTCAGGTAAGATACGGGACAGTGAACCAGCGTGTACGTGTGTATGTATGTATGTGTGTGGGCGGGTGCGCCGGCGGAGGGAGGAGCCTTCACTTGTGACCGCTTCTCAAAACCCAGCGTCATCAATATTTTTCCCAGGGTAAACAACAAAATCAGACTGCTGAACTTCACAATTACTAATAGCACACTATCACTTGTGACATAGCCGAGGTAAATTTGGCTTGGAAATTTTCAAATAAAATTTTACTATTTAAAGAAAAATTAAATATTAGTATTTACGATTTTATATTCTGCCTGAAAGCGTAGTCAGGGTAGATGGAACAAGTTTGTTTAGATTTAGTGAAGGAGGAAAGTGCCTCTCTGAACAAATCCATGTTCATTCTAGGGAAAAAAATACTCGCGTGGTGGCAAGTGAGGTGAGAGACGGGGGCCCCAGCCGAGTCGGCAAACGCTCCGGCTCCGCTGCCTGTCAGAGGGGAATTTTCCACCATCAGAGGAGGGTGTGCTCCGTACTCTCTTGCCTCCACTCCCCTGTTTGTGATATCATCTTACCTGCTGCTTGGGTTTTTCGTTTGAGAAAAAAATACGTGGATCGTGTTCTTTCAGCTGAGCAAGTTGTGGCAGCAACCTACAGCAGAAAATTGTGAGCATCACCTGAACAAAGTTTCCATCACTGATTTTCCAAGAAGCTGTGATCAAAATTTTAGGTCCCACATGAGAAGACCAAGAATTCCCTCAACAGGTATATAACTGTCGTTTTTGTATACTATGTATATTTTCTAAAATTATCATACCTGGATTTGGTAAAGTCGCGTCATTAAGATAGATGGCACGACTTAATGCGACGTTGTGTTGGTAAGAGGTAAATTATGGCAAGTTGCATCACCTTAGCAAAGTATGCGTACCTTTGAAATTGTTAAAATAATTCACGAGGAGTGATATGGACTTATAAAAAAAAGAATAAATGCTAGTTAAGCCATCTAGTTTATAAAGTAAAACCTGTAATTAGTTTAAAAAAAACTGGATGCAGAGGAATAATCGCCGTATTTGAGTATACAGTATATTCAACTTGGATATTTCCGCTTTATGTTGCAGGCTGTTTCTACTTGTATGTGATATTGCCATACCATCTGTGAGCTGGTCCATCAAACCTCCAACCACCATTTGGTGACTTCATTTTAATGGCGACAGAATGTACCCTCCGTACTGGTGACTACAGACAACGAAAAAAATATACATTACTTCATGAAAAATGGTTTAATGAAAAATATGTATTTGACATTTTAATCTGTCTCGCTCTTTTCTTGCCTTTAACCATTTAGGTAGTGCTTATGTAAATTTTATGATATTTACGAATTTCTGATGGTCTCGTTGGTATCATTAAGCAGGTGAGACTGGACTGGGGCGAGCGGTAACCTAGTCCCCATATCCCCTGCATGTTGTATGGCAGGTGCTTGAACTCCAGAGAACAGCCAAGGTTGCAGAGCTGAGCTGATCCCACTGCTCTTCTACGAATCTGCCAATTATGGTCAGTATCACCTTTAGCGTCTTTACTCCTCAGTAAAGCGTCGGCATTGTCGTCTTGTTGCGGCCATTTTAAAATTATACGATTCTGCACTGGCTCCTCGCTGAGTTTGTTAATTGCTGTACGTCGCATTTGGACAGGGAGAGTTTTTTTTTTACCATTTGAATTCTGAGCCAATTATCGTAACTTAAAATTTGACAGGTTTTACCGTGGTTCAGTTCCCCCAAAGCCGATTTACTGTACGTATTTCATTTTGGCATTTTTTGACGAGGTCAAGTTCAAACTTCCTTAAAGCATACTTCTATATTTTAAGCTTATAGACGATTACATTTAGACCAAGCTTACGATTAAAGCACAGAATAACGCTACTCGCTGATTTTCAAAAGGATATATATTTTTTGTCATTTACTGTAATAACAGGTCACAAAAATGCCTAATTTTAAGGATTTTTTGTTCATTAATCTGACCAGACACAGCACGGACATCTTGATACAGGTATAAATGGGTTTGGATGCCGTATATATATATATATATATATATATATATATATATATATATATATATATATATATATATATATATATATATATATATATATATGAAGAGGAGAACCAGGGTAAACACAAACATCTTGAAGTAGGGCTTCTTTTAATTGCTAACGTTTCGGAAATAATCCTTTTCCATCATCAGAGCCTAAAAAGTTTTGAAGTTTATCGTAGGTAAATTTTCGTATAATATTATGTTTTTATTGTATATCACCTGTATTTTTTAACTTTTTCAAAATTTTTAGGCTCTGATGATGGAAAAGGATTATTTCCGAAACGTTAGCAATTAAAAGAAGCCCTACTTCAAGATGTTTGTGTTTACCCTGGTTCTCCTCTTCATTATAAAACTACGCTTTCCACGTAACAAGTCCATTGCTGAAATTATATATATATATATATATATATATATATATATATATATATATATATATATATATATATATATATATATATATATATATATATATATATATATATATATATATATATATATATATATATATATATATATATATATATATATATATATATATATATATATAGAGAGAGAGAGAGAGAGAGAGAGAGAGAGAGAGAGAGAGAGAGAGTTTACTCAAATGTATGTTTTTAGTGTTTGGCCCATATACCGCCGTATTTCTACGGGTTAAACTGAGACTAAAATAGAGCATGATACAGGCCCAAACAACAAATTATGTTAATATTTTAATTTTCAATTTATAGGGGAGTGAGTTGAGGGAGTAAAATTGCCTTAGCTTGCGTTTGTTAACCTCTAATTTGTAATTGATCAATTTTTATTTGCAACGAGGAATTCGTTTTGCGTTCCATACATTGTTTGCAAACCTTCCTCGAGCTTGAGAGTAGTTTCTGATGGTGAATTTGAATCCTAGTCAGTTAGTTTTTTTGTTCCGTGGTACTGTACTTGTAATTAAGCAAATTTATATTCCTTCTCAATACTGCAGTGTCGGAGGGGCGCCAGCGTCCACTCTTGGGTTGATACAGTCAGGAGAGTATGTGTGGCTTACATTTATTTTTAACTCAATTCGCATATTTTCAAATATAATATAGTATTAACTAATTATATGTAAGTTTTAGTCATTGCTGAGAACTTCGTGCAGTATGAAATTAGTACAAGTTACAAAAATAGTTAATGGGATTCAACTTTATTACAGTATATGGTCAAGCGCACTTTATTTTAATGGATATAAGAACCGTTAATGTAGATATTAAATTTTTATTCTGCAAAGTGTGTTTTAGTTGTAATACAGCACAATAGATCAAGCGGAATGCTCAAGTTAGTATATACAATAGTAATATACTAAGTGTTTTTAGCAACGTGAACTCATGGAATTCCACTATTCATAGTTTGCTTAATATCGGAATCTTTGCTTGACATAACATACTGTATTGCATAAGTATTGCATGTACAATAATAAAGGACATTTTGCAATATTTCAGACTTGTTCGATTTTTATCTATTCGATTTATTGTAAAATTTTTGTAAGATTTTTTTATTTCCATACTAGGTCTTCCATGAGAGGAAACAAACATTTATGATGCTCGTGGTGTAGAATCCTAGTAATGTTTACAGGTCCTTCATACCTGTTGCTCATCGAAAATATAACCATGAAAGTATACAACCACACGCCAGACAGTAGCTGGGGTAGGAGGTGGTCTTAGACATGAAAGTTTATTCTCTGTTTCGTGTGTGTGTGTGTGTGTGTGTGTGTGTGTGTGTGTGTGTGTGTGTGTGTGTGTGTGTTCGTAAATGGTACCCTTCCCCATGAACAATTTGAGGGCCGCCAACTGATGTCTGGGTATCTATCTGCTCAAGGTTTATGAGAGCCCTCCCCCTGTCAGGAAAAAATCGACCGGTTTTGGCGAGGTTATACTCCTCTGATCTAGTATAGGCTTCTGATCACATGGTATGCAAGGTGTTTTACCCTGGCAGTTACGATCATATTGAAAATTTTCTGCTTTTATACAGCGAAGAAAATGCACCAATCGCCTTTCGCAATTTTCCTCAACATAACTGTTTAAAAAAAACCTCGATATATTTGGAACTTAATGTTCGCTCTCACGAATATGTCATTGTATTAAGAGGTAGGGAAAATTTCCCATTTTGAGTCGGAGCATGTGACACCACTTTCCCTTCCCAGTTTATACGTGCTGTAAGGTCTATACAATACTGTAATCAGACAGTTGTGCCTGAAATTAACTACTTAGTAATAGCTGTCAGTGCTGATGTTATCTCAGTACTTCATCTCGATTTATATTCCATTTTGTTTTGTAATTGTCTATGGTGTTTCAGGGCATTTTATTTTAGTAGGTAAGTATAATAGGTCTTAAATAACGATGAGGTTCACATATTTCAGTCAAGTTTTCACGAGTAATTGAATTAATGTATAAACTGTGTGAGCAAGCCGTTGTTATTATTACAGTTTATAACTACCATTTTTTTACCAGCATTATTGTCACACTTCGATTTTGTTTGTTATCATTACTGTACCTGTATTTTTTGCATCTATATACTATTATGTCTGAGAAATTAAATTATATAGGGGCGGATCAAGGAATAAAAAAAGGGGGTCGGTTCAAGAAGTAGTGGGTGAGAGAACATGGCGTGCACAGCTTTAATTTTTTTTTGGGGGGGGGGGGGCTGTAAGCCCCAGAATTTATTTTTATTTTAATCTGACCAATATCATGGGCATTTTGATGCCATGTGCACTTCATATGAGATATTCTGAGGTCAATAGTAATTTTTTTTATTATACAAAAACGCCTGAGTACTTTACTGCATTAAGGGAAAAGCATTGAATTTTTCTGATGAAAAGGGGGGTCTGGACTCTCCTGGATCCGCCTCTGAAATATTTGATAATGATTCTTTCGTTCAATACCTTTCTGGTTTACAATCTCACTTTTGCGAAGGCAAGCATGAACTCAGCATTCTGCATGGGGTGAATTGAAATCTGGCCCAGGTAGCCCGTATAATTTCCAGGATAGTTGTCAGTGTTTACCTTCAGGAGTGTTCGTCCTTATTGATAATTATTTCAGTATTTTTATTAAGGGAACATGACGTTGGCTGTGTGCTTTCGGCAGCATTTGGGTTTAGTGTGCTGTGGACTGGTATTTGTTTAGTAGCTGGGCATTTGGGACATACATGACTCAGTAGGAAATTTTGAACTTATCTGGTTTGTAATGGTGCACTTAGAGCTTAAGTTTTTGGGATGGCGTACATTGGACTTACTAGTTTTTAATGGCGCACTTTGACCTTAATTAGCTTGTGAGTAATGAGGCACTTTGACCTAAATTGGCTTGAGGAGGCACACTTGAGTTCATTTGGTTTGCAATGGCTCAATTAGAGCTTATTTAATTTGTAGCTATGCACGGTGAGTTCAATTAGTACGTATGGGCGCACTGAGCTTAAATTGGTCCGTACCGGTGCATTGTCAGTTTACCTTAGCTCGTAATGGTGCACTGGGAGCTTAAATTGGATCGTAGTGACAGAGTTTGTTTAACTTGTAAGCTGTTAACACAGCAGGACTTCATTAAGAATACACATTTCTTCCGAGAACTGCTCGTTGCCTTATCACTCTTGATTGCCCGTGTTTATAAAGTTGATCATGCTTGTTTGCATGCACCCTGAAAAAATGACGTGGTTCACCTAAACATTAGGCAACCCAATTTATTTCACCCTAAGATTAGCCACCGTAACGTCTCCTGAGGGGCGGGGGCCTTAAGTTAGACTATGTTAGGTTAGTATTAACACGGTTAATAAATAAGCTGGGGTTAATATTGATGTGATTCGAATGCGTATGCAGATACTAATGGGGTTTAGCCACATTAGATAAGCAAGTTTACTTTCTTCTTTGTCTTGCACCTTCTGCTTACGTGGTAGTGGGTCGCCGTGGAAATCTGTGTTTATCCTGTCGGGTGAGTGGTGATAAGGGGGAGGGGTGAGGGCCATGTCGGCAGCCAAGGAGTCGGTTTCGGTTTAGAGGAAAAGGGAGGTGGGGGATTTCACGTGACGGGATAGGGGAGGGGTGAGGACCGTGTGGGATTAAGAGGAAAAGGGTATAGGCAACAAGATGAAAAAAAGGAGTGGGATGATCTCAAGGTGGCAGCTTGAAGACGTAAAACTTCTCTATGTGGCGAGGTGCCAGGCGGACTGAGATGCACCACATTGGGGTCACAAGGAGAAACACTTCGTGCTCTCAACACAATCCACTCAATAATCGCGCTCTTCCACCTTAGTGCCCAGAAATATATCATGGAAGCAAGTTTATTGTACAAAGTGTAAGTTATACTGATATAATAATGTAGAGACCAGTAAAGATAAATCTGATAATTACAGAAGTGAACACAGCCCACGACATTTTGCGCAAGCTTTTAACTAATAAAAAATGTAAGTAGTCTTTTTCACTTGGAAGAATAATGTCCTTTTGCTTATCCTAAAGAAGT